ACAAAATCCATCAAAATCATGAAAATTTCAAATTATTTTGTAGTTACAACTTAAAAATGTATACATTTTTCAATTTTATAGCTAAGGATTGAATATTTAAAATAAGATTGATCATAAGTAGTTCATACTGTACCAAAAAATATATAAACACAGTTTTTTTTATCCATATATTCACAATGATTTTACATCATTGAATTCAAATTTAACACATCCATTACAGTGACCCACACGACACAATATAATGTTCAGCAGAGTGGTGTATAATACCCACTTGCCCACCTTTTTTAGAAAAAAATTCTATACAGTTCGTGTCCTTCGTCGTACAGCAGCTGATGTTTCCTTTTTTCGACACATGTGAGCAGTACTATAGGCTATACAACTGCGCAGTTAATTCTAAACTATTCAATGGATTCCATCTGGAGGGACGAAAACGAGTAGGAAGTTAGGTGTATGGTTTCCCGAATTCCAGTACTCAAAATCTCACCCTTATTTAACAAAACCTACGCCCAAAAAAAAAAAATATAAACAAAACATCCGTAAATCTATTTAATATATTATATATATATATATATATATACCTATAATATAGGATAACTGTATTTGTTAATACTCGGAGGATTTAGTATAATATATACAGTTATCACATTATACGCATTTAAAATGTTGATGAATTTTAAATTCTGAGAGAAGCGATGAATGCTATTGGTCTTACAATGATGTGTGTTTTCTTTTAAAAAATTTGTTTTGCTTTTTTATTTGTGTCTGTTATCACCTTTTAGGACAGTAAAAATGCTTAGATGTTCTTCAACAGCATCTTTGAGGGGGTCAAAAGTAAAAAATGTCCAGTATAGTTTTCAAAAACACACTTTAAACTTCTAAAGTGTATTGTTATATTATACAAATAATATAATTTAACTTGCGGGCTATTACTATTATATTAATAATAATAGTATAAATATAATATAAAATATCCTTGGCTGACCTAACCGTCTCCGCTCAGAATCCTTTTCCTTACATGATATTATATAATTTAATTGTATAATTCAAATTTAATACCATCCATTACAGTGTTACACTTGTAACCGACTGTACAGCAGAGTGACATCCACTTACTCGATTTTTTAATCATGTAGTTATTAAAAACTTAGCGATGATTTTATATACGATTTTCTATAACTTGTGTATTATTTACTCGTCCCTGATACCATGACTCAAGTAACTAAATGTGATTAAATAGTTGTTTAAACCTAAAATATACGAATTTTACTCTAAACCATCCCAAAAAAATCCATTATTTTCTAATAACATGTTAAAAAATGTATTTTTAAACTTATATCCAACAAGAGTTGTCAGTGCTCGTGTGTTTTTATTTATTTTTTTTTTTGTGAGTGGGTCTTTCTTAATTCATTTATTTATGTAATATACGCGATAATATTATACTGTATGCGTCGTTAGAACTTCCTTACTCCTCCTTATGTAACAACTAAGGTTTCATTAAAAAGTTTTCGATAATTCTCAGAAAATTCCAAAAATGACATCTGTATATCTTACCATTGTATATTCGTATCTCTGTACATTTCTAATTGTCATTTGCAAATATGTCTCTACTCTCTTCACATGCATTTCAGATAATTCTAGCTTATATAGGTATATCCAAAATAGTGATCAGACATACACATGACAAAGAAAAAGAAAAAACGCATCTACCTATAGAATCCGCTCAGAATCGAACAAAATACAAAGGTTATTATATGGATAATAGATATAATATAGTAAAAAAACAAATGTACAAAATGAATTGTATAGTTATTATTTTACCATTACTATAAAATCAGACACAATGTTAATGACTCGCCGCTGAGTATTTAAAAAAGTTAATTAAAATTCCTTACATTTATAAATAGCTTACAACAGTTAACAAATTCAATTCAATCTATGCAAATACAAAGGTGTAAATAATAACGTATGCATTGTTTTTATATAACCGTATTTTTTTACTTCTTAAAAATTATTCTTATATTTTTCAAGGCACCAGTGAAAATAAAAACTTAAACATTCATTTATGCACAACGTTTTTTTAAAAATTTTCTAGAGCAATGCGATTTATTGTTCTATATACACAATAGTATACATCAACTGTAATAATATAAGCTCTAATAAACCAAACAGTGATTATCATCGTTTATTACAAGCAGTATCATCATATTATTCAAAATAAATAATAATATACAGTAGGTAGGTGGAATTAAAACGATCACCTAAGGACTTCTACGTATATTATACCTAATAATGCGCTAGGAAACCATTTCTTCACAACACCGTGATGAATCACCTATATAGAGTTCATTAATCCAGTAATTACTACATTTGAACCCGTTTTAAATTCAACGAAGTTATAATGAGCGAATGGTGCAGCAGCAGATTTTACTTATTAATAATAATATTCCTGATGGTCGTCAGTAGGTTTTTCTTAAGATTCTTTCAATTTTTTTAATGACAATTATTTTCGAAAAGACATAACCTTTCCAATGTATAAAAGCAGTAATGTAGGGCCATATAAGCTCATTCGCCCTAAAGACCTACATGTCTACCCAGAGCTCTTTCAGTCCTTTACAACATAGGTATAATTATATGCTTATTACCATGTTAATATTGTGTCATGCTTTACACAAAAAAATATTGTACCTATTTGCATTAAAATGTATACCCAATTTAAGTAGACAACAATTTAATTTAAGTTGAATATTTGTACAATTTCTAAAATGTCGACAATACATTAATTAAAAATATAAACAAGTCATGTTATTTGTTTCAGTTAATTAATATTTTTAACGTTGATAATTTTTTTAAAAATTGTTATGTGGATATTTTGGCCTCCTTCGCACTGCGTAAAGGTACTGAAAAAGACTTTTTAATTTGAAAATCCTTTACAGAATTGAATAATGTCTGACTGCAGTATAAATTATTATGCATTGTACGATGGCTGCTACAGCTGCAAGCCAAAGTTCATAATATAATATCAACACTTTACCATCATTTATAGGCACGTACTTGTAGGAATGTACCAGATTTTTTATGTGTGCACAACACCTCAGGGCTCAGACGAAATCTATTTCGGAATTTACCTTAAGTGGTTCGAAAATATAGATTATTTACCATTTTGAACCTACTGCCTACTGCCCAATAAAGTGATTACGGTATACCATAAACCATTAGTATTGTTTTAATAGGACGCGGGGTCGATATCATAATGATGATGTCGTCATCGGCGCCATGTCTTGGAGTTTCGTGAAACGTCGAACACGATACTCAGTAAACGGTACTCCGCCGTAGACCGCTGTAGATACATAATGATGTAAAATAATAATAATAATAATCGAAATGACGATAAACAATAACAATTGCCGAGGGAAAATCCACGGTCCAAAACCGTGGAGCAGGCTTATGGCGAAATATTCGCATAACAGTTTCTTTTTTTTTCTACGTGCCGATTTCACGGTAACATTATAATTATACGGAGCTCGTGGCTCATGGGCCGACATAAATTTCCCACCGCCTACTAATTCCACCCCTCCAATCGCCATCACTACCTCAATGTAGCATTTATTTATTATATAGTTTCCCTAGGAAATACCATACGGAGAACCAACCAAGTACTTAAACACTATGGGTTACGTCCGAAACTGGTCGCGCTGGATAGGGCATGGAGGTCGTTAGTGGGCGAGGGAGAGGGTGGCGTGGGGGTGAAGATTTGTTCTACTGGAAAGTCCGAGAACCACTGCGTACGGTGCGTCACCACCGTCGTCAATCGAGATGAATGGAAAAGATTTCGTTCCGCGATGACGACAATAATAATACGATTCTCCGATCTTGTTATTATACCTGTCGCCGACGTATTACACTACGGTACTATCATCGTCACTGTGATAGTGATAACTCAGCGTTTCCCGTCTTCTCGACCCCCCCCCCCCCAACCTCCCACCATTGCTGTCGAGCGTTTGATGGACCCCCCACCCGATAAACTTCAGCGGCAACCGGTTTGACTAATAATATATATATATATATTTTGTATATTATATTCTACGCGGCGGCATGCCCATACACTGGTGGCACACAGAGTACCTTTACACACCCCCTACTCTTCCTTGGAGTACGCGTATTTTCCTCTCAGTCACGCACCGCACACCGCACCGTCTGCAATAGTATTACATACTCTACTACTATATTATAATACACACCGCGACCGCATTTTTTTTCACATATATACCAGAGATACCTGCATAATATTGTAATATTATATATTTAAATTTAATATACCTACGAAGTATAGCAGTGCAATTTTTTTTTCGTACATATAAATACGTTCGCGTGTGGACCATTCGCTGTATTACGTACGCATCACGCTCGCACCGAGTCGCGTCATACGCTTTTTATTATAATATAATACAATTTAGGTACACGTCATACGATCAAATATAATATACATAAGTATAACCAAACACATAACGCTTATATATATTGCATTTCGGGAGTGCGGCCTGTATGTATACATATATATATATATAATATAAAGCTCAGGTGTCGGCGACTTGTATAGATCACATCGCATTTGCAGTGCACAGCGATCGATCCACGCGCACTGGAGCGTTTTTTTCGATGGGATTTCGCAATCCGTACGTGTCGATACTGTCGGTTGATTACAAGTTGCGCGCCAAATTGATGCCACTGAGGTCCTAGTATATATTTCATATATACATTTTAGCTGCATTATAATTCACGAGCGAATTCATAAACAAAATTCATAAATACCGCCGTCGATTCGAGTACTTACATATTTTATTATATGAACACATAGTACACACGTACTACCTGTATATAATATACCTTTTTGTATAATATAATAAACGTGCGACTGTGTGTTTTTACAGACTGTGTCGAGTCATTGCGATTGAATATTATACGCATACAATATAAACGAAGACAGAGACAACATTGCAAAAATGGCTTGGATCAGACGCGGTCGCGGAGACAAAGCGATGCAGCAGATGACGTTCACGATCGTAAGTTTTTAAATCAAGACACAGTTCTATCGTTATTATTATTATTATTATTATTATCATCATCATTACGATCTTAAACACATACAATTATTAACCGACGTTCTATACGAGCTTCGCGCACTACAATCGCACAACCGTGTGTGTGGCTTTCAATTCGGTTTCTTAACCACTACGTAATTGTACCCGTCGTCGCTGCTAATTGATCGTACTAGAGCTGCAGCAGGACCCGACCGACACAACGTGCGTGGAGGACGGTGTGACGTCGTATTGCCAACCTAAATCGACACTACCTATATAATACGATAATAATTATGGTGTTATATTATTATATTCTTTACCTGAACCTCGTGATTTATATTAATATAAAATTATAAATAATAATATGTCGTCGTATTGTATGTGTTTGACGCGACCATCTGGTATACTATTAATAGTAATAAGGTGGTCTCCACATAGAGATTCCAAAATCATGGTAATATGGTATATGTAATACGCAATCGAGGCGAACAGCGAACGGTCAGCGGAAATTCTGTTTCCGTCGTCGTGACGATTTTGCCGGTCGACTTTCTGCGCGGAGACAACTACAATACTGTTGCCATTATCGTACGAAATAATAAATTATAATGCGAATTAATGCAATATGAAGATAGCGAATAACGTTGCCGGTAAGACGCGGTCAATCGTATTGGTGTAGGTACATGTTATAACTTAAAATATTACATTCATTTTATTATCTTGGCGAAAATCGACAGACGCGTGAAAGACCTCTGCAACATAATCGACAAATTGGTACGCGCACATATGTATAATAATAATAATAATATGTATATCGTGTGTGTGTATACACGCTAAAAATGTCTCTAATCAGTACGTTAATTACCGGCCTCTATAAGATGCTAATGGACAATTTTTATGTCAGTCGAAACCTTTTATATATTCGTCGCAGTCGTGTGCGTGTTGTGTCCGGTCCGATCGGTTTTTATACTACAATATACAAACGCTTTATTATATACGGCCGAGACACGGAATATTATAATTATTAAATTATCTTCACTTCCTATATACTATATTTTATATTCGTTCGATTATCTAGTTTTTTTTTTTTTTTATATAAAAACATAAACTCGATATTATTATTATATATATTATACACGTTTGATATCGTTCGATTGGTCATGAAACCATCATGCAAGCCACCGTCACGTTGTTAGAAAGTCAAAATACGTTTTTTCCTTCTGTCGTTTTTTCTGCAAACAGACTGCAGTCGAACTTACGCGAGTGTCCAGCGATATTATTTTCTTGCGCCGTAATATCTACCTATATAATATACCCTGTACAGACCACCGCAGCCACCGAAATCATAAAAATGGAACTCGTGACACGCGGGGGTAAATAAAAATCATATTTTATTATTATTATTATTTATTATTATACAATATCCTTGCTTTCTTGTAATTTGCTATATTTTTTAAATCTTTAAATACATTTGGAATAGAATAGGAATTATTATATTTTTGGGGGAAAGAGTTAATATGCACTTGACGTTAAAAAAAGTTTTGTCCTACCTATTATTTGAGTTTTCATTATCTTGGAGCGCCAGTGCTACCGTACCGCTCTTAAATCCTTATAGACATTTCAGTGATAGTTATTGTTGTGTTGGACTTTACTTGAGACTTTTTGCTACGACGCTTATCTGCGATCATTTCCGGTCTACACGAATATAAATCAAAAGTGAAGCCGGGACAAATAATTCAGGAAACCTTTTCACTTAAACGAAATATTCCTAAATTTAAATGTTTAACTTATTCGTTATTGGCTTAATCTTGAACGTTCTTTAATCTTTTGTTTCATAATAACAATTTAAATTTATCAATTATAAATAATATTACTATTCTGGTAATAATATACAGTGCACTTAATAGCAGTAGGTACACCCATGCAGTTATATGCATAATGTATACCCATAAATAAAACTTTTTTTTAGTTTATACAGTTAATCTATGATAGACTTTTATTTTAATTGACTTATACTATTAACTTCGTAAGCTATATATTTTATTAATCGTGATAAAGATAACAGGTATGTGCTATTAATACAACATTAAGTTATAATAAGACATTATAATTAATTGACTTGATGCTATCAACAGATAATTTTTTTTTAAATTATAATTTATGCTACATTTTTTAAAGCAAAAATATAATTATAACTTCATGACAATGTTTAAAATTTGTTAGGTTGTAACCCACGGATTAGGTACTTCGTGTTGAATGAATAACCATATGTATAATACTGACATAAAGTAAGCACTAAGCACTATGCCAATGTGCATATATTTTTTCTATTTGTGTATGCATTATAATCACAAAATAAATAATTACAGTATATTGTTGTTTTAGAATATAATTACACAACTACATTTGCCAATTGCCATATACCATTTTTGTATTTATCGAATCTATTTATCCGAGGTATATACTATGTATCTTCTTTTCTATGCAGATCATTTAATTATACACTAAACAAATTTTCAAAAAATAACTTTTATTGTTATTTTGTTCTGAATTTTTAAAAATAAAGTATCACAAAGAAATAAAACGAGAAAAATATAATATAGGTGCTATATATCTAATATTATAATATATTCTAAGTTCAACGTCGATTTTCCTTGTTTGTATAATATACGCCCATAAATTTCCTTGCTATTAGCAAATCCATTTGTATTGTATACTCGTTAAAACATAATATGTCATCATTAACATGTTTCTATACTCAATTCTGTACATAACCGGGCGAAAATAAATAATATGAAATCAGCAGGTTTTGAAGGTTATACACACATTTTTGAAGCTAAATTAAAAACTGATTGCGTTTTATTGCAATTTACCGAAATTTATTTATTCGAGATGATTACTGTACGGTATACTGTAATGATTTCATTTGAATTTGATATTAAGTTCAATACGTCATGCTTGACAATGTGTATTGTGTAATAATATTTTATATTATGTACCTAATCGTTTTATACTACGTTTAGTGATCTGAATAGTATAATATTTTTCTTTACATAATATGAATTATTATACTGTTAAAACTGAAATCTATCTGTAACAATAAGCATGTATAAAATGCTCACACATACATGGGTGATAGGTATACCAACTTGTGATTTGTATAAGTTGTAACACGACGTGAGCGAAATTCCATACACGGCGCTTAAAATATATATTTTTATGAGAAAATACATTGTAATACACAGACATTGTATTTGCATGGAAAAAAGTTTTTCATCATGTGCTTATTCTATTAATGAATTATCATTATTCATGTTTTTTGGGACGTGAAATTTCAGGATAATTCCTTTTTTTATTGGAATCGAAATTTTCACTATATTTACGTATAAGTACCTGATATTTTTTTAGCGATTTTTATCCGTACATTGGGTTAATATATTTTCCCATTTGGGCATATGATTATAATTCATTCATCTATGTTCCCCGATACATACGCATATATTGTATACATTTATATTTATTTATTATTCCGACCCTACATAAAAAATTGTATTCAATGGAAGTTATTATATTATAATAAAATCATAACCGGGGTTATGGGGACCCGATAACAGCTTTCTATGCAAGACGTTATCATCGTAGACTGAGAAAATGTACGATAAAATAATCCGACCTCTAACCGTGTAAAATTTCGATCCCGCTCACATACAGAATACTGTATGTCTGTATATATAACTGTATATATACACTATTGTTTCAAGAGCGAAACCACACAAGAACAATTACTTTAAAGCGTTTGAGTTTAAAATGTTTACATCAAACTAGCGTGGGCGAATTCAAATTCGAAATTCGCACCGTTCGTTCGTAGTTGAAAATATTAATATTCTGATGATTTCTGGAAATCGTTCATATTATACAGACACGAGAAACTGTAACACTCTGACACTCAGTGCAATCCCTCTGTATAAACGACGCTCGTACAGAAATAATAATAATATTGTTTATCTAGAACAAATGAATGCATGTAAATGTGTAGATTGACATTATCACGACAAATTTGTTAAGACAATTCTTTTTTTATGAAATCCAGTGTGTTTCACGGAAATGACAAAGACACTCTTTTCCTCGAATCTTGCGTAACAATATAATATAAATTCATATTATATTTTTTACCCAAAACCACACGTGTGCGTGTTAACGGCTATACATATAATATAAATTCTGGTTTTAACTTTTAAGTACGGTGCACTATAAAACAGTGCTGTGTTTCAATATCGTTTTGCATTTTTTTTTCCAATATTTATTTATACGCGTGCCGTTGTCCTTGTCAGCATCTGTCAAACGCTCCGCAATGGATTTATATGTATGCGCTTTAATATAAATCACGCTATCGGTTGGATAATGATGTTTTTTCATGATATATGGTACATAATCTATATCCGGATGTTTCTAGCACGTAAGGCTTATTAAATTTTGAGTTAATTCGCTCGTGGGTTTATTGTAATTTTTATTTTTTTATTGAAATAATAATGTATGTACAAGTTTTCTTTTTGCGAAGGACGATTTGTAATGTATATCAAATATTTTCAAAAAAAAAAAATGTGTGTAGGTAGGTTTACGATTAAAAAGTACATTCCTGGCTTCTGCTGTACATTTTTAAAGGAAGGTAAATGAAACTAACGATTCAAATGTTTTTAACTTTTTTTTAACTCGCACGCCAAGTTAAATTCCATTAACAGCTAATGATGCACTTTTTCTTTCAAAAATATTTTTGTATTGTAATATTAAATAAATCACTGGTTAGTATTCAATATTTTATTTGGCGGCAATAATTTATATAAATATACCTTCAATGATTAAAAACATTCGAAAATTTCAGCTGTGGGATATTCGTGCACAAAGTTCATAAACTGAATTAATAATGATATTATAATACATTGTACATAATAAAAAGTGACAACTATACCTAAGTATTTTTATTATTTGCAAGTTATTATGTGTAAGTTTTTAATATTTAGGTACTAAGTTTCTATTATCTTGAGTAAATATACAATTTGGCACTTCAGACATTGTTAACATGCATGAATATGAGTATAATATTGTGTGACTTAGGTCATTGTTTAAATAATTTATCTAAAAATAAGGATATATAATATATATTCATATGTATTGTTTTTAATTAGTTATGTTGAAAACTTTATCGTTTATTCAAATAATATATAGGTAAACATGCAAACATAAAATTTAAAATTTTCACATTTTTTTTTCTTCATAATTTATGCAAACATTTTCATTTTCAATTGTACAAATTATACTGTGTGTTATACTTGTTATGCTTTCGTGACATTTTTCTTAAATAAAAAACCGTCAACCGATAGTTTATTGTTTTAAAAGTTGTAAGTCATATGCAAATAAAGTATAGTGATCTTAGGTAAGCAGTTGTAATATGCTTAGCATTTATTGAGTGTAGGTAAGTTTGCTCGTAAGAAGAGTAAAAATCTTTTATAAACGTTTTGGATTTTAAAACTTACTATAGGTTGGTACTTTGATTAATTAGCAATAGCAAACACATTAATTGTATAGAGTATTAAAAGCATTAATTCAATTTATATTGATATCATTTTATTTGGATCATCATATATTATACCAATATTACTATACATTTAATAGTACCCATATAATATAGTATGTAATTGAAGTCAAACGTTATTCTCAGGGTTCGTACTATAATATGTTGATAACCTTTATGCAAAATTTTAAAATTGATCGTATTATTTCTAAATACTTTGTCCGACACAATAATATTTTCTGTACCTATAAAACAAAGTTTACTCATGGTTTATGCTACATTCACTCTTCGCATCATCCCATGTCCTGAGGTCACTCTCTTTAATCCCTAAAACACAAAAAGTTAATTAGCTATTGGTTGAAATGAGATCGAAGACTAACTTTGGCACATCATATGATCCACTTTAAGCGAATAAACTAAAAAAATAAATATTCTAACCAAAAATTAAAATTACTCATTTACAAAACTCTACTCAAGGATAATATTTGAACTATGGGTTCCAACTTTAGGGTAATGCCAAAAAAATAAATCTTAATGAAATTAAAACTTTGCAGAACATAGCCTTATGCAGAGTTCCTAATGAGCCTCCATACGTTTATAATGATACTCTCCTTACTGATCTTAACTTAAATACATGCACGAAGAAGCAAAAAACATTTTATAAAAGATTTCACAACAAGTTAGCCTCGCAGTCTATACCGCACTCTATATCCCTAATCAGTAATCTCTCTACTCTAACATCTCCAGGAAACCTCTCAAGACGACTTAAATGAACACATACAAAAATTCATGTATAGTTATCATAATTCATAAGTGACAGTAAGTCAGTAAGTGTCATCAGTGGGGTGCTTCTTTTTCAAAATTGTTCAGGTTTATATTTATCTATTATCATAATATGCTTGTTGTGCTTTGGATCATAGATTGTATATTTTCTAAATAAAGATTTAAAAATAAATAATGCATCGTAATTAGTAAACACTATTTATCGAATTTTCAAACAAATGGGAAACATGCAAAATATAAGTCATACAATTTTAAAAATAATTAAAATAAATATTATACATTTCAATCTGTCTGATGTACATTAAATAGTGTATCGGGTACTATAAAATTGCAATAAATATAATTAAGAATTATGTGATGTTTTTTTAACCTATTTAATACTGGATCTTAAATTCGCACCGATTTCAACGTACGGGTATAATATTAATATGTATATAATTATTAATTTCTGTAATTATTATAATTATTTCGAGACACGCGTGTTATTGCCTGAGAGTATTTGTCTGCGTATTTTTAAATTACTCTGCAAATTTATTAAGGCGTATTTTATACGAGTAAACAGTTTATTTAAAATTTCCATACACATTGTATAATAATAATATAGGTATTATTATCATCTCGTGATAAAATATTTAAATATCTATAGTTGACGCAGCCCGTTTTGGAACAAACGAACAATGTACCTGGTGTCTGCCTTTGCAGGTGTGCGACTACATTATAATTATTTATAACACATATTTTGGCGACACGAATATTGCAAAATATCCTCCCGATTCGATGGTCCGGCGGGAGGGAAATCGCGGAGTGGTGGAGATAAATATCTCCAAATACACTGGCGAAACTCCATATACAATACACATTATTAGGTATATCGAACACAAGTTCTCGAGCAGATACGATATCGCACTTAATATATTGTTCCGAGCACTCGATTATACCATATTAATATGACCGATAAGATCATCGAAAACACGCGCGAATCCCCGTCACACGTCGTTTCGTACGTATCGTTGCGGCATGCATACGTATTTGGGCTGATTAACAATGCCACCGTCTTATCGACAGCTTCTATACAGGGTGATTATTTTATCCAACGACACACTCTGCACGGTAATCGCGGCGTTCGGAAAATGTTAGATTATATACTGCTGCAGCAGGGTTCCTATGTAAGGTTATAGGCAACCTATATAATGCCCATGCAAGCTTGACCGTGTAATGTTAATTTATATGATATAATATAGTCTAACCTAGTAGGCAGAGTTTTACCCAAACCTAACACCTGTAACCAGCTTTTCCTCACGCCGAGTGTTGAAAAGGGATCACACTGTATTGTAATGTGACGTATTGTATAATACACATTATTATTATATAGCTCGTTCGTGACACGAATTTTTTTTCGCACTCGCCGAGACTTGTTACAATCGCGGCGCCACTAATACTATCGTGTTTGTCTGTCTAGGACATGCCCATCAGCGAGGACCAGGTGGCCGAGCTGTACGGTGAAGGCGCCCGGATCCACAGCGTACACCACAGGTCCAAACCTGAGCAGTCTGTGTTCGCGTCCACAATGTCGTCCAACGCCTCGGTGGACACGACGGTGGGCTCGACTGCAGCACTCATACACAGCCACGCGGCCAAAGTCAAGAAGAAGAAGTACGCTTTCCTCAGGCAGGGCAACAGCGGCGGCACCCAACAGTCGGCCTCGGCATCCGGCAACAACGGTTATTTAACAGGCCGCCACTGCCGAGACGCCGCCATACACAGCCAGAAGGAGCTGAACATCCGGCTGGCCACGCCCACGGTGCCAAACTTTATCGATCAGATACTCAAGAAAAAACAGGCCACCGAACAGGTGTCCGCCAAGCGTTTGAGCAGCGACGACGACGACGACTGTGATGACGACCGGGATGACGATGAAGACGACGTGTTCCTGCAGGACCTCAAGTCCGCCGCCAAAATCCGGACGCCGCAGAACACATATGTACCACAGGTAACGTCATTTTTAGACTTTTTTTTAAAGATGGAATTTTATTTTTATTTCTACCTGCACACAATATTAAGTTAGGGATGGGTGGTTACTAAAATTACGTTTAACTACTGGTACTGATACTTGAAGATATTACGGTTTTGTCACATTGATATTAGTACAATGACTTGTAGAAGAACTGCCCATATAGAGAAAAACGATGTTAAGTTCCATAACTTTCATTTACTTCATTGTAGTGCCATTTTTCAAACCCGAACGTAGTTAGTATCGAAGACTTTTACCTTATTTTTGCCCAAAGGCAATTCGTCGGTTTATATTTAGGTAATAAGCACAGTTACACGCATGTACTAAAAATATAATAAGTGTATTTAAATTTCCGTGTACGTAACTCATAACTATTACAACGTAATTTATAGTTACATAACTGTAACTTGTGACTGAGTCACTATTTATGCCCAAAGATTCAAGTAACTATTGTTATAATTCGTGGTATCTGCTCACGTTACTTAAAACGTAGGTACTTCGTTGGTTGGCCAAGCCGTTATTTAAGTGTGTTCGAGGAGAAGAAATATATTAAATACATTTCAGTCCAATTTTGGGATGTTTGATTTTTCCCATTTCTTTCGCATCCCCTACTCCGATTGGGTTATTCTGTTTTGCGTTTCACCCTGACCCAAATAAACGATTGAACGCCAGTCCTAATGGATATAAGACGGGGAGCGACCTCGTTTCGACTACATCAATTAATATTCTAAAATCTGATGTATAATCAATATACGCGCAGTTTTCGTGTGAATCGCGTCTGTCAGCGACTTATATTAATATCAATCGCACTCGGCTGTCTATTTCACTGAGTCTCGTCGTCCGGTCCACTTACCCACGTTATGGCCCAACACTTTAACAGGACCATGTCGTTGAGGGCCTGGCCCTCCATGTACGGGGATTATGAGTTTAACGACGACGACGACGATGACGACGAGGGCAAAAACACGAAAGCCAATTGCGAACAGGTAAAAAGATAATAATAATAATGGTTGGAAAAAAAAATTATACAAGTCGGATGCCACGATAGGAGGTTATTTGCGCAATATCCCACGACACACATATTGTATAGTAATTATTATCCACTAACACGCCGGTCATGGTTCGTTATAATGTTATGAGTTGCTCGTCGCGTTCATGGTCGGTCTCGCGAGGTCGATGTATCAATATATTCGTCTATATGAGGATCTGAAGTACGAAGGGATTTGACCGCTAGGAAGAGAACTACAGAACTATGTATTATTTTATAGATCGGTATTCAGGGATTTTTCCTTCAAATTTTCATACGTCACAACCTGGAAACTGTTTTGTGCCAAACATTTTTTTAACGTATATTCCGAAAGAAAAATAAATACTAGGACTAAAAGATCTGACCATTATTCTTATCGAACGCATAATAAAATAATTTAAGTTTATAATATCTTGTCCTTGGTACGTTAACTTAAATTTTTTTCTTAAACATAAATTATTGACAAATATTGTTAACTATTTTATACATAAAAATGTACCAGATTATTGACGAGGAGGTAAAAAGAGTTATAAAATAAACATTCGTAGATCTTTAGTTCTGTATAATGAACGGTTTTATATTGTATGTTTATCTAATTAGTCTTACTCACGAAACGGTTTTTAACAAGGCGTAGTTTTATAAATAGAACATATCTTACAATGATGCTGTGTTATTCAATAATTATTGTGTAATTTATTTTAAAAATGAACTATACCTACAATCTATAGTGAATTCAGTACACGCCCTTCTTGTTTGAAGTTTTTTCTTCGATTATTATCTCTTTGAATGTGTATTATATTATAATAGTATATAATATACATAATACATATTATATATATTATATTATGTTATACAGGTATATGCATGAACTGTAATTGTTAATTAATAAAAATCGCTAAATTAAAATATCAATTCCACCATAGTCTTTATAGCCGACAAAAATGTTTATCTTAGAAAAAAAGACTGCCCATTAAAGGATATTACTTTTTATCATATATTGTCTTTGTCCTTTAAGAAAAAACTAACAATTCGTTTACAATTTGGCAATATTCATTGTATATTAGAGGTAATGGGCTTTATTGCAGGTAAATATGATTTTGTTGTAGTATGATAATATTAATTGTGAGATTTATTCCCAACGTATTAGTATTTTTCAATATTATGATTTCAGTTATTAATTTCACAATAAAATTAAAATATGGTGTGATTATATTTCCGTTGTTTCGCAATACGTCAAAACGATAATCGAAACTTTCAATGTGTTTTTTTTTTTCATAACATATATAATGGTAATATTAAAATTGATAAACTATGTCAATAATAATATATGTTTATCTCACCCATTCTGTGTATATAATATTATAATTTCTAACATTTAGCATACTTGTTTGCTTAAAATACAAACTACCTTCGTCGCAATAGAAATTTCGTTAGATCTAATACAACAATATTATATTAGTAGGTTGTAGACACAAAATGATAACTCTTATTTCCTTGAATTTCTCGAAGTACGCAACATAGTTGTACATAGTCAACCGTTTGTTTGCCTACCTTCCGGGCGCGAAGATTCCCCGCTCACACGCCGCGCATATTGAAACGGCCATTGATGCGGGAAGGATTGTGACCTTGGAATACACTTACTGTAAATTAATCGATCATAAACATTGCCCGTCTATTACAGGAATTATTGGAAAACTCGTTAATGTGTACACACGCTGTGAGAGGTATTGTAATATTTTGTTATAATACAGTCGCACGATGGGAATGCAAATTTGCGCGGGAGGCAAGGTTTGGGCGATCGTACATACGTGATGTGAAAACTTAGAAATATAAATTAAAAAACAGCTCTAGTGGTTTATTAACAAAAAAAAAAAATGATAATGTCATTCACGTAAGCACGCACACATATTATAAAGAAATTTGAGCCAGAGGTCGTCCGGCAGACGACATCAATTGGTCGGACTATCAATACGCGACTGAACGTGCTAAACATATATGTACATAATGTCGCATATTTCAGTCGAAGCCGGCAGTAGTTGTAGAGGGTTCAACCTTGATCTTGTAATTGACCCTTTGCCAGTAGGTAATTCAAAAAATAAGACAATTTTTTTTTTCCGTTCACCAAAGTAAATAATATGTTTTTCTCAAATAATAATATAATCTATACTAATTGAAAGATATGACATAATATGTACGCTGCTTTTATAATTGATCAATGTTTTTCAAAAACACCATAGATAAAATTTGTAACTCGTGCAATGAAATTGTTTTGTTCCTATGCTGTTGGAAAACAATAAACAAAAACAGCAATTAAGGTTCTGGCAAAAATTAATTAAAAGATTAAATTTTTTTATTATTTTTGTAGTCTTGTTTTTTTAAAAAACCTTATAGAAATACATGGATGCCTATAATAATATGTCTCCGTAACTATAAACTATAAATCAGGAGTCACCAATATTAATACTTTTGGACCACCACATTAGGCTTTTAAGAAATTTTTGATGTTTCATACAATTCAATTTACATAACTAATCAAAGAAAGTTAAAGAAAAATCAAAAACTCAATTTATAACATAATATGAAAACCTGATATGTAAAAAATAGATTTCCTGTCGGCGGGCCAAATAAGTTCGTGACATTTGCTGACCCCTGCTTTAATATTAAATATGTATTGTGTCTCGCTTACTGAAACTGAGATAATAATATTAATATATTATGTTGATGAATCACAACTATATCGATATCTTTTAGAGTTTCCATTGGTTTGATACCTTGATATCATATCTAAGTATCCAATGCACCAAAATATAATAGATTGCGTTATTTTTTACTCTAAATATTTAATTTTTTGTTGTTGAATAAGTAACAGTTTTCAGTAATTTTATTATTATGTGCGATAATGATACACAACTGAATGATAACATGATATTCAATATCATTGTAGAAATACTTTATTTTAGGTTTTATATTGATCATAGCTTAAACTACGTGACAGTACGAAACATATTTATGTATTGTTACTCTTATGACGTATCTAGTGAATTTTAATAGAGGAAAGACAAAACTAAGTGCAATAATATCGTAAACAATTGTTCAACATTTAATCGTTTGACTATTTTTGTATTATAAAATTAACGGACCCATATTTTTTGATTTATTACTATGGTCATTCATAAGTCATAACCCACCTATAGTCACCTCCCTGATATAAATTACAAATGATAAGTATAATGTTTGATATTTACCCTTTACACAGAAACTGCGCTTTTCACGAATCGCGATTGGGTCGATATTCATTTAGTTTATTCCAATGAATGGTTTCTATATATTAAAATACAAATATTAAATTAATATATTGTATTTAAGTTAAACCATACACGTTTGTTCGAAATAAATATACAATGGGGACAATTAAAAAATGCATTTGTGAATTCGTATTATAATTATATCATATAAGTACCTATTAACTTGTAAAACAATTTTGAATAGAAATTTCGGTTTGCAAATCAGGGTGTGCTAATTTAAAAACGTATAATAATTTATTGTGTACAATATAATGGTAATCAACAATCGCGTCTACATGGCACAATGAAACAAAATTGTATTTTATTTTTTTGTTAATATTATTGTTATACTTGTTGTGATAAAGACTAGCACGATGTCCCTTTGAGATCGTAATGATATTTAAACGCAAACGCGTAATATAACAATGTATTTACGACTATGTTGATACCTTTTACGCATGATATAATATTATACGTATATATACAATATACGCATTCGGCAATTTCGCTCCCCGGTGTTAATTTTTTTTACACTCCCTCCTAAAAAATGTAAATATTTGACAACAACAATTAATTTGATATATGTTGATACATCAAAAGGGAATAACACAAAGAATAATAAACTTAATTGTTGATTACATTTTAACAAGCAATATAGCAATCAGTGA